CAGCACTAGTCAGCCTTTGCCAGAACAAAGCTGCATAACACCAGCATTTATTTCTCCATCCCATGTCTTCAGGGGCAGGTCTACTGGTCACATCCTCACCGTGGCAAGTCTTCTCCAGGCTGAAGTTTGGTTCAATCTGTCTCATGTGTCTCCATAGTTTAAGCCTTTGCATGCTCCACATATACTAACATTCCATTGATCAAAATAAGTCACATGGTCAAACTCAACATCAACAGGACAGAGGAACATATTCTCTGGAGGTATTAACCATGAAATCATGGAAAAGTCATGAAAAAGACAGTCCATGGAAGTCACAGGAAAAAGAGTACTAGGAAAGGTAAGGAACTGGGAACAAGAGTGAGGCAGTTACAGGCCTACACATCCCTACTCAAGCTGTTTTCTTCTAGGTAGGCCTGGGGTATTAAAGTAATTTTTAAAAAATATTTTGTCATTTTATGTGTATGAGTGTACTATTTGCATGCATATAAGTGCACTTATGTCATGTAATGCCTAAGAAGGTCAGAAGAGGCATTAGATCATCTGCATCTGGTGTTACTATTAGCCACCATGGTGGACTATTAGCCACCATGTGTGTTCTAGGAATCAAACCTGGGTTAGCTGCAACCTCAGACTGTGCTCTTAACTGCTGAGCCATCTCTCCTGCCCTTAAGTGATTATTATAGTAAGAAACTATCTATATAGATTTTTTTTAAGCATGGGCATTGCATTCTAAATGCTTAAAGACTGCAGATTCCTCTTTTAAAGTCTAAGTCCCCCACGATGTGCTTAAGATGATGTATGCATGCTCTTTGCCTTCCATTCCTTTCATTTGAATGTTCCATTGAACTTTTCAGAGCCCAGAGTGCTCACCATGACACCCCAGAACCTCCACTACAGTCATATCTGTATTTCCATGTGTGTCATTTAATTCAGGAGCTAACTCACTTCAAGTTTTAGCAACACCTATAGGAAAAGTTCTCGTTTATCTAAAATCTTCCTACTCTGCCTCTCAGAGAAAATTAATATTTTCTTAAATTAAAATACTCATATTTCTAACATAGCTCAAACACCATCTACCTATTGGACTTTTTCTCAGGCATATATTTTAACTGATGAAATTAAACAAGTAGTCCAATAATATAATAATATATTAAACATGTCATATTGTTCTGGAATTTAGAGATTATCTTCTTTTTTCCAGTGTCTAAATCTACTCCCCTACTCACATAAACCAAGAAAATTCATGCAGTGATGACTTTATAGCAACCATCAGAGATGATTCTTTCAGCTATTTTTTAACGTTCAATAACTAGGTGTTTTGATCTTTGTCACATAAAATATACAGGTGATTTCATTTCCTATTTCTATCTAGCTCCTTGCAAATGTGTACAGAGCCTCAGTGAGCATGGGCTCTTGGAGACTAAATTACTTCTAGGTAAGGTAGAGATGAGGAGCATTATCTCTAATGCTGCTGGGAGAGCAGTATTTAATAGCACACTATTATAGGAAGGCTCAGCTGGGGCCGGGTGACCTTCATTTGTAATGAATTTGGTAAATGTGTGGGGCTCCTGAACTGTCATACCTGGAGTCTGCTGGTGGCATTTTGTGCCTACAGCTCAGGAACAGTGGCTTCCTACAATGCACAGAACTATCCCACGCTATCAAGAAGTATCCAATCCAAAATGCCCCTTGTGTCTCCACCATCATCACTGGAATGGACAGATTCTATTCAGGGTCTCCATCTGTCTTAGTGGAGCCCACATCTAAATCTGAACCTCAGTGGCACCAAAAGATGAGATACTAGATTCCAGGTTTCTACGTGGGAGCCCCTACCCTTGGAAACAGGGCTTACAAGGGAGGAAGCCGAATATACAGGAAAAGTGTTCCAAAGGCATCGAGGAGTCACTGTGACAAATGCCCACCAAGTCATCGAAAACCCTCATCACATGCCTCTCCCTAAAGACACTTAGAAGCATAGACCTGGCAAAAACAGCTTCCAAATTTGTCCTCCAGAATCTCAAAAAGATATACTTAGTTTCTCTCCAGCGTTGCATATTCATGCTACTTTTCTTTACTTCAATTACCATATCAGACATTCTTTGGACTGGTGCATGTGTTATTTTTGTTTCTCGCCTCAGCACTGTAATTTCTGTCCAGCTGTAACGATTCTTATTTCTTTGTTCTCTCACCTCCTACAACTTTATGTATCTCACATGAGTACATACAAAAATATTTTCTGAAGTTATGGGTAAGATAAATGTTAGAAAAAATATCAGTGAAGAAATTACAGCTTCCTTTTGTACAAAGACATTGTGGAGACACTGTGTCCAGGTGGTTTTTGGCAGGAACTGTGGGAATTCATCAGAAGAGTTATTAGAGAACAAGACCTGCATATGCCGCACCACTACTTAAGCTGGCAGGGATGCAAACAGGACTCCGCTGCGCTTTTCTAATGCCAATCAGTGAATGTATGTAACACATAAGACAGAAAGCAGTAGCGTAAGATGTAGCTTTTCAAAGGTAATTTACTCATTAGTGGGAAAGCAGGTAGGTCTTACTTGTATTGCTCGGTCTCTTGGTTCATTTGTCCCTATCTTTGATACGATAAGAGAAGTACATGGCATTCCAATAAGTGGTTAATACTGAGATTTATAGAGGAATAAATATTGCAGTTTCCATTTTAAAACCATCATCTGAACTATCAGTTACATTTTAAAAAATACAAATATGTGGTTTTTGGACATATTATATTACAGATGATCATAATGCCCGCCTTCAAAAGTTCTCAAATTACCTTATAAATGAGCTTTGTAATCCCCAATAAAGTGATCCATGAAAGAAGTGCTGCAGCTTGTATCACATTTCTAAACTCACTGTGAGTGAACTGCTCTCATGTTCACTGTAACCGTGAATGAAACAATCTAGGTGTCCTCATTAGCTTGGGTGCTACGCATGCAGGGACTAGGAAATTATTTTTTAATGTAAACTGAGCCTATTTATAAATGAATTGTATCTATCTGGAAAAGCTACAATTCATGAATGTATCTATAAGTGGTTTAAAGACAAAATTGTCACAGGTGCCATTTCCGTACTGAAAACACCAATTTACAATTAGAGATTCTATAGCTTTGTTGTTTTTGATGATGTTATGAAATTCATACTGTTGCATGAGGTGGTAGCTGGTTTCTGCACCTGCAACTGGGCGTACAGAGGAGCAAACACATCTTATTGGCTACAGAGCATGAAGTCAAACTGCTGTCATTACCTCCTTATGGAAACATGAGACCTCTGGGAAATGACATATTTTGGGTTTTGCAGTAAATCATTTGAATTCTAAGTACACTCTAAACGTAAGCCTAGATAGGCTGAGCATTCCTAAACCAAAAATAGGAAATATAAATGCTCCAAAATCCAGAGCATTTTGAATGCTGACTTAACATCACGTAAAAAATTCTTGACCTAACTTCATGGGATGAAATGCAGCAAAACTGCAGGCACTAAAAATTATATAAAATGACCTTGACAGTGTATGTACAGGACGCACTCATACATGAAAACAGATGAATTACTCATACCTGAAAACAGATGAATTTGTTTAGACACGGGGCACATACCTAAAATACCTCAAATATTCCAAAATCTGAAAAAATCTAAAATCAGGAATACTTCTGATCCCAAACATTTCAGATAAAGGACAGCAAACCTGTGTATCTGAAGAACCTTCACTCAGTCCACACTGAGAAGAGGACTGACACATGTGACATTTTTTTCAATCGGACAATATCTTATTCTAATGTGAAAATTTTACTTTTTAAATTTTATTTTTATTATTTTAATTGATATCTCTGTGTGTACATACGAGTGCAGATGCCTGAAGAGGCCAGAGGTGTCCAATTCCCCTGTGACTGGAGTTACAAGTGGTTCTGAGCCACCTGATGTGGTTTTGGTAACTGAACTTGGGTCCTCTGCAAGAGCAGTACATGCTCCTAACCACTGAGCCATCTCACCAGCCCCTGAAAGCATTACTTTTTGATATCCCTTATTCTCATAGGATCTATTTTTCTAGTGACTGACTCTTAAAATGTTGGAATGTGGTTATAAATTAAATACACCCACTGGGAACTCCCATCATGAAGCTGCCAACCAGCAAGGGAAAAAGCATATGAAATCCTCCAGAAGCCTAAGCCTGCACTGTCTACAGGTGGGATGGTGTGGCCAGATCCAAGACACCTCAAGCAGGGCAGCCAACAGACTGTGGCAGAAGCATGGGTAATATCATTGCAAGTCTCACAAAACACTGCTCTAGGACCCTTGAAATCTCCTGGCTAAACCCATCCACAGTACAGTCAGAAGTGAGGCTCAGAAAATGAATTGTGTTATACAAGACTACCTACCTGTCAGTGGTAAGTCCAAGTCTGGAGGCAACAGCTGCCTTCTGCACCACGTCAGCACCCCATCACCACCCATGTAGGCTCCCGATCAGAAGACAAGGTTACACCATGTACAGTATCAATTCGGGACAACACCTTGGCTATGAATAAAATCATTTCAAATTTTTCTGATTCCAAACTTTGATTTTTTTACAAGTTAATATCTTACTAGGTTTTTAAAATGGAAAACAAGGAGAAGTTATTTTATACCTTCCGTTGCTTTTTAAACCTGTTAGCATGAGGAGCCCACCAATGAGGATTAGAATCCCTAATCAGTAAATATTGGGGTGTTGCCTTCTAGTTCTATCATATCAGCTGACAACTCCCATAAATATCTGTAGAAATTCAGAGCTGGCTTGGGGTGTATACGTATATAATACATTGTATTTAGTGGAGAAAGGAAATGTCCCATTGTGGAAGATGTCATCTTTGAAGTACAACAGATTTGAGTTTAAATTTAGCTTTTGTTTGCTTTATGACCTTGGACCATTTCACTATACAGTGCCCCGGTTTCCTAATCTAGAGTACTAAAGTAATAATTATTGTCTACCAGGATCATTTAAGGGAAGAAATAAATTTATTTATTTTTAACTTTTACAAAAACTTTATTGAGAATTTCATACATGCATATAAGGTATTTTGATCAAATCTATGCCCACTCCCTCCCTAGGGAAGAAATTTAACCATGTGCCCAAATCACCTGGCACTGAGCCTAGCTCTTCATAGGTATTTAACAGTAGAAGCTGGTTTTCAACTAAAGTAACAGAAAGACATGTAATCTGGGTTGCAAAAAGAATACTTGTCCTCCAAGCTACTTTGATAGATTTGGAATAGATCCTTGAGGGGAAGATATAGCTTAACGCTAAGAAATGCTGATCTGAAACAGTGCACCTACATTACGGGATGGTGAAAGTGGCCCTGGAACCCTGAGGCCACTGGGTTGGACTCAGCTTCCAATTCCTAAGAACAGTGTGGCCTTGGATAAGGAACCCAACCTCTGGTGCCAGTCTCTCATTTGAAAACAAGGAAAGGCCTAAGCATCTTTGCTTCTTTCCTTGAGAGTTACTCAAGCAAATCTGTACCAACCTCTACACCTGAGCAGGGTTCACAGCCAGTACCTCAGCTGGGGGATCTTGGCCGGTCCCTCACAGAGAGTTCACAGCTGCTCAGAGGGGGTTCGTAGCCAGATATTCGGAGGGGCCTCACAGCCAGGAACTCGTAGGTCTATGTACCTGGATGAGCTTGGTCTCTTCATCTTTGCTACTGATGTCACTTCAGTGACTCAGAATTAGTTGTTTCTAAGTCACCTTGGGTTTCTTTGAAGGCAATGTTATGTTGTTACTCCTCCAAGAAGCTGAATGATTTGAAATAATGAAACAATCTAAAGTGGACATGCTTTGATGACTGTGCTTTCTTATCACAAAGGCAGGAACATCAGCTGAAGAAATCACTGAAACCACCAGAGCTCCTGCTCAGGACTTCTGAACACCAAGGAAGATCCAGCAGTTTTCAGGAAAAAGAAAGAGGAAAAGCAGTAAGAGAAAACAATACATTTATTAAGAGGCATGAAAATGCAGAAACTCACAAATTATTACATTATAAATTAATGTAATTCAAGTTACCTTGTGAAAAAATAGTCAAAATCCATGAGCAAACTGGATTTTATATTTGAAATGATGACATATTTGATCTCTAATCATTTTTCCACCACCATGATCTACTGGTAGCAGCAATTTTACAATAACTATAGAAAAAGCTGTTCCAAATAAACATCGTATGGGGAGAAATTTCTCCAGAATGCTCTTTAAAAAATGAACCAGTGCAAACAAATTCAAATTACGAAGAATACAGTAAGACTTGCAGTTTATCTTCAGAAGTAGAAAATAAAAATCCTGAACATTTCTTCATTAAGAAATGAAAAGGCAAACTAGATTTTGATCAGTGAAACACGATACATACGGATATAAAACATTCTTAACCAGTGATTGCAATTATTACATTTATAAATGTTCATTCAAGTACTGATGCTCAATAAACATTCAAATTCTCATCAAAAGTAACATGAGATTGGGCAGGCCTAGATAATGCTTCTTTTGATGTAAAAGGGCCATGTCAACAGGAGGCAGGCAACCCTTAGAATACTGTTGTTGGTTGTTTTGTCTGTAAAGGATTTTTTTATCTGTAAGGACCCAAGGAACATCTCACAACAGCTAATTAAAAAGTCATTTCTATAAAATGACCCAACATCACTGAAATAAACAGAGGTTAGCTAATAATAACAATGGGGCAAAAATCTGTTTTCCTTGGCAAGAAATTGTTAATTCCTTACCAAATGTTGGCTTTGAGGTTTTATAGAAACTATTAGAACACTTTGGTAGTTACCAAAGAGCTACTTAATAAGCTGGAAAGATTTCATAAACTACATTACCATACATAATAGCAATGAAGAGTTATGCCAAAGTCACACCAAAATCAGCATCACTTGTTTGATTACCATTATTAAAAAGCCTTCCTTCAAAAAGCTCTGTCCTAATTTTGGCCTGAGTCTCAGGCTTCAATAAAAGTTCTTTTATCTGTTTCACTTTGGACTTCAGCCCCATCCTTTCTTGGTGCAAAGCTTCATTAATTGAATCTTGGATTCCAATTGGTTCCTTGCCTAAGGAAAAAAATTACATAATGCATTTAAAGTACAAATATCAATGAAATACATTAAATAAGACATGTTGACTTATCAAAATAAGGCTTAAAAAACCTTTAAAATGTGGCCCACATTTCATAGAAAAGGTTGCATTTTGCCAAAAATATATCATTTACACAAAACCTAATTTGCTGTAAATAAAGATCCCTAAATGGCGACAGCACACTGGGGGCAAACGTGAAACATGGACTAACTGTGCTGATGACCTTTTCAACAGTGATGAATTGAAACTTAGCACTTGATAGCTGTGTGTGAGTTTTGGCCTCAGATAAAGTAGTCAAATGCTATAAGCAATGTTAATGGCAGTATTCCATTGGCAGCAAGGCCTCTCCCACGGCCTTTTGAGTGTGGGAGGCCTAACCCAAAGTGCCCCCTCTCCCTTGTGCATGATTGAGGGCAACTGAAACATGGACTGTTCTTCTTCCATGAATTAATTTCCTCTGTTAGTCCCAGTACACCATTCTCTTCCGTTGTGCCTCAGCAACACAAACACATCGATCATGTTCCGTGTTAGGCAATCTCCACGGCTTGGACAGGACACTGAAATAGCACATTGCAAGTCAGTCCGAGTCTTAGCAGAGGGGGCAGGGATGCTTTACACGGAGCAGCAGGGCTGGGTTCCGGTCTCACTTCCTGTTGTCATCACTGTCATTGCCATTGCGATCGGCCTCTTGAGCTTTCACCGAGCTCCCCTCCCCCGGCTGCTTTTTGTTCTGTGTTTCCTCCAGATATTGCTGGACAGCCTTGAGCACTGCGTTCTCCACCAACCTCTTACTGAGCCTTACCAGTTCGGCATCCTCGGGCTCCCCTCCGTCCTTCTCACCTACATTCCACAAGAGAAGAGAGGTCACTGAGCTCATATCGCCATAGCAACCCAGCCATGCAGGGCCCAGCTAGTTCAGCTAGTTAAAAGAGCAAGTGTCCTTCACTGGCAAATAAGATCTATAAATCTAAGAAGAGTGGGTTGCTTTTGCCTATGACATCTGTGGAAGCAGGAGCCTGTCTATCTATTCCTGAAGACTTCAGGCTGAAAAGTAGTCCATTAGGCATGCTCTCCCTGGCCAGGCTGCAGCCTTCCCATTTCCACATGGAGTTTGTGCTCTTCTCCCAACCAAGGCTAATGACTACTGTGCAGGTGCATTTGCTCACCATCTGTGGCCTCTGGCATATAAATTCACTAAGAATACCTGTGTCTGTTACCCTCCTCTTCAGCTATCAGAGAGTCAAGATTTCCCCATCATGTCACTTTGGATCATTTGTTTTAAAACTGCTTGGCATAGAGACTGGTTGTCAATAGACTCGCAGCACTCCTACTGAAGCAAATGCAGTAACTACTGTTTAAAATAAACTGCAAGATCAGCATCCTTTTTATAATCTCATTGCTCTCACCACAATTTAAGAAACAGATAATTGTTCAGACTTAGGATTATAGCGGCCATTTCCTATATGTTACTATTTCATAATCATTTTGTTCTCTTGCCAGTGATGATCCAGGTTGAAGTAGTCCCATCATTCATTTTACTGTTTTTTGTTCTGTAACTGATTTTTTAAAATTAATAACCACATAATTAGTAGAAGCATTTCATTACAACAGCATTGACAGTTTCCAGAGCAAAGATGCATCTCTTTCAAAATTGGCTGTAATTTTTAGGTTCACAGTGTTGAATTAATACATTTATACATTATTGTACTCAGTATAAACCCTATAAGATATAAAATTGAATGAGGTTTTAACCTTTAAAAAAGATCTCCATTTCATTTTAGAATATACTGTTTCATACAGAAAAACTCATTTTTAATGCAAATAACACTTTGATGTTTGCACATGCATCTCTAATCTCTATATCTGATTATTACTAGTCATAGTCAGTTACTTTCTGAGCTCCTTGGCATCTGACCATGGATATAAAGTAATCAAGTAGATTTCAATGGTAGTGTTTTTCACATCTAAATTATTATTTTTTAATCAT